GGGGGGGGGGTGGAGGAGGGGAAAGGAGGGCCCCCTTCCCAGAGTGTCACAGAGAGTGGGAGGTGCGGCCATTGTGCTTCATGACATATCTGCTAAGTTTCCACTAGACATATCCTCAGAAAACCGGTACCCTTAGGTAGGTAGGCGCCGAGGGTGGGAGAACCCCAGTGGACCCCCATTTGCAAGTGTGTGGCAGTTCTGGGGAAGACAGGGCCCAGACTCAATGCACCCCGTTTATCACTGACGTGTTGTAGTGACCTCACAGCCCGCCGTTGTCCATTCCCCCCAACCGCCGGGCCTGTGTGCCACATCGGTTCCCCTTTGGGTTCTGAGCGTCCCCCACCTTCTGAGGGCATGGCGGAGGACAGGGTGTAAGTCGGGCTCACGAAGAATCCCAGCCTGCCGTCTCTGCTCCAGGGCCAGTGGGCTCGGCAGGACGAAATCGATGCGTGGATGCAGCCGAGGCGTGCACGGTGGACGCGCTGTGCCAGCGGCTGCGCACCGAGTACGTGACGCAGTGCCTCGGGCGGGCTGCGCCCCTGCCCGGGGCCACCCTCCTGCCTCGCGTCCTTAAACGCCTGCGAGCAGAGCCGGGTTTGCAGGTGCGCGCGGGAGGGTGGTACAGGGACACGCGCGGGTCCGCTGGGACCCCTCGTCCGTTCACCGCCCTCCCGCCGCCCGCCAGGCCCCGCCTCCTGGCCTTCCAGGCTTCCTGCGCGCCGGCACCCAGCGCCCCCGCCGGCTGCCTGCAGGACCAGCGCCCTCGCTGCCTGCACGCCTTTGCAGGCCTCGTGGGTACGTACGGCTGGGATCTGGGCGCTGGCGGGGGCCCTCCAGGGGAGACTTGACCCAGGTGGGCAGTGACTCCACACACGGGGTCTGCAGGCACTGCGGTCACCCCCAACTATGTGGACAACGTGAGCGCGCATGTGGCGCCCTGGTGCAACTGCGGAGCCAGCGGAAACCGGCAGGAGGAGTGCGAAGCTTTCCGGGGTCTCTTCACAAGGAACCACTGCTTGGGTGAGGGGTCCTGCGGGGGATGAGGGGAGATGGTAAGGAAGTCCGAGGTGTGCTTACTGCCCCCTCCCAAGCCTCCTAGAGTCCATTTTAGAGGGGAGGAAATTGGGGCTCTTTGGGAGCAGCCTTGCAGGCGCACTCCCCACTGCCATTGTCCTGACCCTGGAGGAATCCACGACCTCCTGTCGGTGAGACCAGCTTAACACTGGAGCAGCTGCAGAATCGTAGGGGCTTCGAGACTAGTTAGAACAAGTTGTAAGACAGGTTTCAGAGGAGCTGACACTTCTGAGGGGTTCCATCCCTGAGGGTCTCCCAACTCTCCTCACAGATGATCTTGCCTTTCTGGGTTTGGAGCAGCTTACTGGTTTGAGGGCTAGGGAGCCTGCGTTCGAAGCCTATCTCTGCCACTTATTGGCTGAGAGTGAGCCCCTCTAAGCCTTTCCTGTTCATCTGTGGACTGGGGATAATTGTCACCCTCCCCAGAGAGCAGGCTTTGTGAGTCACCTTATTTGGTTAGTCCTGGCCATGTATCTTCCGTCCTGGGAGCTAATCCTTGCAGATGCCAAGGGGTGTGGGGAGGGTCTCTCTGACTTCAAAGAACTGGGCCCCATGCTAGGGTTTTCAGGATAAGCCCACCCTGGACCCTTCCCTTCACAGATGGTGCCATACAGGCCTTTGGCAGTGGGTGGTCCCCATTTCTGCAGGACCCTGGGCACAGCCTCCTGCAGGTAGGCACAGGAAGCAGAGGGTGAACTGGCAGTGCCTCACTGTCTCCTTCTGTGCTGTGTGGGCCTAGATGGAGCACGGATGGCCTGGGATGCAGGCAGAGGGCAGAGCCAGGCTTGTGCCTCAAGTCTACACTCTCCTCCTACCCTCAAGGTGTTGTCCTCCGATGAGTCCCTGGTGGGAAGTTCCCTGCTCTCCATACTCCCAGTCTTGGCTCTCCAGGCCTTACTCTGACTAGGATGGCAGACCTCAGACAACTCAGCCGCTGTTCCCCTGCTTGCGGGACAGGTCTGCGTCCATGGCATCTTGCTTCACTGAAAAGAGACTGGCTTACCTCGCAGGCTGGCTCCGTACTCTTGCCCTGCTGCCCCTGCAGGTCTAGACACTGTGTGCCTACCTGCGAGAGCAAGGAATGTAGGTTGGGGTCTGACTGCAAAGCCTTGGGTTTTCCTATCAATAGACATCTTGGTTGTCTGTCCACTTCTCCACAGTCCTCTAAGACCCCAGAGACAGTTGGGGTCTTCTGTGGGGTACAGACAGGAGAGGGTCACCTTTGTAGCTGAGTCCTTATCGGGGCCCCAGGTCCCCTAGAGAAGGTCAGAGACCACCCAGACTTGCAGATTTCTAGGAAATCATGTTAGCCTCCCAAGCAGATAACACCCTGAAGACCACACCTGGACAGACGTACAGGCAAGATACCCTGTAACATGCAGCCATTCAAAACACCCTCCCAGTGGCCATTCCCCACCATTATAGCCACCTGTACCCCATGAGTAACATTGGTAGGGTGCTTCCTGGCATGACGTGCTACCTGGTGGGCCCTGCCTGGAGTGACGAGAAGCCTGTTCCCAGCCTGCCCCGTCACACTGGCCTCATGACCATCTTCCCCATGTTTGCTCAGCACTAAGAATGGGATCCAATGTTCAATAAACCCGCGCGCTCTGAGACTAACCTTGCTTCTGTGTGAGCTGTGTTCAGGGTCCATGTGGGGTGTGTCCATGCTTTCCTGTATGACCTTGGATGGCCTCAAAACCTCTCTGGACTCCCTCCTCAACTACAGATGCTGAAATGAGCCAGCCGAGGTCCTGCTAGCAGGGATTTTCACTGCTTTTGTCTGTCCTTTTTTTCTCTGCTAGTACTCCGATAAACTACATGGCCCACCTCTCTTGCAGCTGAAGGGAGTCACATGACACACAGTGGCCCCAGTGAATGGAGAGCAATGGGGTCCAGGTGCTAAACCTTCTGCCCACTTACCTCTTCCACTAAAGTTGGATACTTCTGATGGGTATCTCCTGGCTGTCCTTCTCAAACCTAGTCAAGGTTTGTCAGGAGCCATGAAGTGTGTGGAAGAGAGCTGCAGGAACCTTGCTCGGAGACCTTTGTGGGCCGGTGCAACCCATCCACAGCCATTGAGAATGGTGGATGCTGACAGCTCACAGCTGCTCCCTTCTCTGGGAACTGACGCCCCTCCTCCCCCAGTCAAGAAGTGCCTATAGCCTGCCCTCGCGCACAGGCCTGGTGCTAATCACCCTGCCTCAAAGAGGGTGATTCTGTGTACCCTTCATGCTCCAGAGCCCCATGGATCAGGCTGAGACCACAGCCAAGCCATCTCCTGCCCCTGGCCCTGCCCCATCCCGCTTCCTTCACCAAGAGGTTTCCCAGAGAGCATTTCTTCCTGTCAGTGATGGCAAGAGATTTCCTGTCTTGGGCTTGGCTTCTGGAGAACCTGGCCTAAGACACAAGGGTTAGGTACAGACCACACCAAAACTTGGGCCTGGGGCTATCCTGACCAGAAAAAGAGCCACAGCTCTGAGATCAAATACATAGTTAGCAACGCAGACCAACTCCACTGACACTGCTTACTGGTAGCCATCAGCTAGCCTCCCAGCTTCATTCAGGACTCTCCCAGTTGGAACAAGACAGATCAGATGGGCTTCAGGCACAGCTGTACGGAGGGTCTCTGATGACACTGCACTGCTAGTCTGCATGGCTTCCCTCTGCAGCCAGGCAAGCTGGCACCAAGGGGTGGGGGGGAAGACTGCCACCAGCAGCCCCAGGCTTACTGGCTGTCCTTCCAGCAATCCTAGTAGAGAAAGGCATCTCTTTCCCAGCATTCATGGACTGTCCCAGGCAGGATCCTGGTGGCCCAGGAGGGTCATGGCCTTTTCGTATGGCTTGGGGAGTGACATCAGCCCAACAGGATTTCAGAGAATTGGAAGGAGTGCTGGGGAAAGGCTAGCTGAGTCTAATCCATTCTCACTTCTTGAAGAAGAGGGAATACACAGGACCAGCAGTCAGCGTAATGGCTATGTCGCTGAACTCCCACGTAGTCGACCGTGATTCAAGTCCCGGACCGAGTGGCTTCAACTCATGCCGGGCACGTGTGTGTGCATGCCCAAGATCCTGAGAGGAGAATGGAGGAAAAGGGATTGCACCCCCCCCCATTCCTGGGGGGGTGATTTCTCGCTTTCCGTTTCTCTGTCTCTGTCTTTCTGGCCAGCGCACGTGCCCTATAGTGAAAACCTCTCCAAAAAAAAAGAAATAAATAAAAAGAAGAAGAGGGAATACTCAACACCTACACCTGCAGGGGAATAAACATCTACCTGTAAGTGGGCTGGGGAGAGACTTTGTGTATACATGCACATGTGTGCTGGGGGGTGAGGAGGTATGTGAAAGCTTTGTCCTGCTTACCATGATCCCATGTAACCCATATGCAGAATGAAATGTTTGCCAAATGATTTGTCTTACGTAAGAAAGAACACGAAATGTGATAAATTCTACTTTTTTTGAGAGAGAGAGATTTTTGCTATAGGGTGTGCACACTTGCTGGAGAGATGGAAAGAAATAGAGAGACAGAAAGCAAGAGATCACCCCCGGAAGGAGGCTATACCACAATCCATTCTCCTCCAAGAGACAGAAAGCAAGAGATCACCCCCGGAAGGAGGCTATACCACAATCCATTCTCCTCCAAGAGACAGAAAGCAAGAGATCACCCCCGGAAGGAGGCTATACCACAATCCATTCTCCTCCAAGAGACAGAAAGCAAGAGATCACCCCCGGAAGGAGGCTATACCACAATCCATTCTCCTCCAAGAGACAGAAAGCAAGAGATCACCCCCGGAAGGAGGCTATACCACAATCCATTCTCCTCCAAGAGACAGAAAGCAAGAGATCACCCCCGGAAGGAGGCTATACCACAATCCATTCTCCTCCAAGAGACAGAAAGCAAGAGATCACCCCCGGAAGGAGGCTATACCACAATCCATTCTCCTCCAAGAGACAGAAAGCAAGAGATCACCCCCGGAAGGAGGCTATACCACAATCCATTCTCCTCCAAGAGACAGAAAGCAAGAGATCACCCCCGGAAGGAGGCTATACCACAATCCATTCTCCTCCAAGAGACAGAAAGCAAGAGATCACCCCCGGAAGGAGGCTATACCACAATCCATTCTCCTCCAAGAGACAGAAAGCAAGAGATCACCCCCGGAAGGAGGCTATACCACAATCCATTCTCCTCCAAGAGACAGAAAGCAAGAGATCACCCCCGGAAGGAGGCTATACCACAATCCATTCTCCTCCATCGCCCGGCGGGCTTCAACTCATGCCGGGCACGTGTGTGTGCATGCCCAAGATCCTGAGAGGAGAATGGAGGAAAAGGGATTGCACCCCCCCCCATTCCTGGGGGGGTGATTTCTCGCTTTCCGTTTCTCTGTCTCTGTCTTTCTGGCCAGCGCACGTGCCCTATAGTGAAAACCTCTCCAAAAAAAAAGAAATAAATAAAAAGAAGAAGAGGGAATACTCAACACCTACACCTGCAGGGGAATAAACATCTACCTGTAAGTGGGCTGGGGAGAGACTTTGTGTATACATGCACATGTGTGCTGGGGGGTGAGGAGGTATGTGAAAGCTTTGTCCTGCTTACCATGATCCCATGTAACCCATATGCAGAATGAAATGTTTGCCAAATGATTTGTCTTACGTAAGAAAGAACACGAAATGTGATAAATTCTACTTTTTTTGAGAGAGAGAGATTTTTGCTATAGGGTGTGCACACTTGCTGGAGAGATGGAAAGAAATAGAGAGACAGAAAGCAAGAGATCACCCCCGGAAGGAGGCTATACCACAATCCATTCTCCTCCAAGAGACAGAAAGCAAGAGATCACCCCCGGAAGGAGGCTATACCACAATCCATTCTCCTCCAAGAGACAGAAAGCAAGAGATCACCCCCGGAAGGAGGCTATACCACAATCCATTCTCCTCCATTCCCCTTTTGGAATTTTGGGCACACACGTACATGTGCCCAGCATTAAGCCGTTGGGTCCAGGACTCAAACTGCAGTCGACTACATGGGAGTCCAGAGATGTAACTGCTATGCCATCTGTCGCCCGGCGGGCTTCAACTCATGCCGGGCACGTGTGTGTGCATGCCCAAGATCCTGAGAGGAGAATGGAGGAAAAGGGATTGCACCCCCCCCCATTCCTGGGGGGGTGATTTCTCGCTTTCCGTTTCTCTGTCTCTGTCTTTCTGGCCAGCGCACGTGCCCTATAGTGAAAACCTCTCCAAAAAAAAAGAAATAAATAAAAAGAAGAAGAGGGAATACTCAACACCTACACCTGCAGGGGAATAAACATCTACCTGTAAGTGGGCTGGGGAGAGACTTTGTGTATACATGCACATGTGTGCTGGGGGGTGAGGAGGTATGTGAAAGCTTTGTCCTGCTTACCATGATCCCATGTAACCCATATGCAGAATGAAATGTTTGCCAAATGATTTGTCTTACGTAAGAAAGAACACGAAATGTGATAAATTCTACTTTTTTTGAGAGAGAGAGATTTTTGCTATAGGGTGTGCACACTTGCTGGAGAGATGGAAAGAAATAGAGAGACAGAAAGCAAGAGATCACCCCCGGAAGGAGGCTATACCACAATCCATTCTCCTCCAAGAGACAGAAAGCAAGAGATCACCCCCGGAAGGAGGCTATACCACAATCCATTCTCCTCCATTCCCCTTTTGGAATTTTGGGCACACACGTACATGTGCCCAGCATTAAGCCGTTGGGTCCAGGACTCAAACTGCAGTCGACTACATGGGAGTCCAGAGATGTAACTGCTATGCCATCTGCTGGTCTCTCTCCTCTGTTTTTTTACTTACAGCATTAGAGTAAAATAGAGCATAAAAACTAAATTTGTGGGGCTGGTTTATGGCCTGGTGGTTAACAAGTAGATTCCACATGGCCAGCTGTGATTCGGATCCTGGATCCAGCAACCTGAAAAACACACCACACATGTTCAAGCAAAGAGGGAGATCTGGAGAAGAGATGGTGATGTGATCATTCCCTGTGGGGGGTGCTTTCTCCTTCTATCTCTGACAAATGAATGTAACTTCTAGCAAAATGTTAAAAAGAACATTTAAATGCATCAGCGATTTCATGTGCATGAGAGAGAAAGAGAGTGAGAGCCTCCTCTTCCACCCCCTGCAACAGGGCCTGGTCACACCACAATCCTTTTTTCCCTCCTTCTCTCCATCCCATCAGGATCTGGGCACATGTGCATGAACCCAGTGTTCTTTTCAAGGTGCTAGGGCTGGGACTCAAACTGCAATCAAGCCATGTGGGGTCTGTCTCCCTATGCACGGGGCCCAACTGCTGCACTGCAGGCCTGTTCCCCAGTAGATTTTCTTTCCTAGAGAGATTATTGCTATAGGGCATGTGAGCTCGCCAGGGAGAGAGGGTGAGCAAGAAATCACCTCCCAGGGGTATGGCCACACTGCAATCCCTTTTCCTCCATTCTCCTCTTGGGATTTTGGGCATGCACGCACACAAGCACCTGGTGTGACTTTTAAGCTGCCAAGTCCGGGGCTTGAACCGCGGTCAACCACGTGAGAGTCCAGAGACATAAGCAGCCAGTTCAAATATTATTTATTTAATTTTATTTATTCATTAA